GCATTATCGCTCTGTCACTTTGTTGCCAGAAGTGGATTTTTTTTTGTTAATATTTTACTGTTACATCTGACAGGATTTCACATTTTCTGTAGCCCGCCTTTAGTACATTGAACTGCCAGACAGAGAAATTAATACCCTGAGTGACTGTATTTTAATTAAGCAATTTCATGCAAATTACAAATTTTAGATTGCCAAATAATATATTGCACAAAAATTGTAGGCTGGCTGATCTGATATGCATGGAGTATTACTCTTCCAGGCACTGTGCATACATGGGAAAATGAACAAAAATGCTAATTTCCAATCTACTATGCAAACGGTAAAAGATGCCTATTTAGATACATATGCTTTCTTAGGAAGGGTAAACAGTTCTTTAATTTAATATAGCTGACACTTGAAGATGTGTTTTTCTCTTTTACAAAGATAATTTTTGCACTGAACAAGTAAATGAGAATTCAAGTAGAGAGCATCTTGTTAATGGCGACTAATAAAAACTAATATTGCATGCAGTATAATGATATTAAACCTTATAACTGGTACATAAAGCAAGATCGTTCCTATTGTGACTCTACCAATGAACATCAAATATATTGCATATTAAATATATATTTTAATAGAAGAAATGTTAACTCTTTCAACAAAACTCCAAGCTTCACTTAAAATTAAAACATAGCAATACCACAAGCCAACTGGGAAAAAATATTTAAAACATGCACTTACAAATTTGAATTACTCTGTAGTTGTTCATTCAAATTCATAAGACAAGGAAAGCACAGAAACCTTTTATAAATTGAAACAACATGTAGGGGACATAGTTTTCTGAATTGTAGTTTACAATAATACACACACACACACACACACACACACACACACACAGTGGGAGAGAAAGTGAGCTTTAGTAGCATAACAACTTATTCCTGCTTTCTTAGTGTCTTCAGGTTGGATCATATATGGAGATTGTATTTCTCTTTTGTACACCAATTGGTCATATTTCTTGTAAATTTATATTCTCAATCTTTAAAACAGAATCTGATGAAAAAGACCAAAACTAAGACAGAATATTTGTCGATATATATTGTATTATTTAAAGATAGAGCACCTCAGCTTTCTCCAAGCATTTAAATCATCATTGGAAAGAACTCAACAGAGTTCAATCAAAACTATCAATTGATCAAAGGTAATTTCTCAGCTTAAAAAAATGTGGAAATTTAGATTAATCCAAGAAAGAAAATTGCATTTAGACACAAAAAACGCTAAATAGCTTCTCTTCTAATGTGTTCTTACTTCCCCTTGTTTCTTCTCCTGCAGTTCCAAAATATGGAGATGTAATCATCAAAATATCCCATCTTACACCTTTAGTAGCTGTATTTGCTTTTCTATTGTGTTTTTGTTCAAACTCCTGCCAGAATCTTTGTTCATGTCTAAGGCGAAATCTACTCTGCATCAGACCTGTCTCTACTATGTCTGAGATGGTTTGGGTAATATAAATTGGTCCTTTAAAAATACTTCATAAATTTGATGAGAAGGGTGTATCTAAACCATGAAATTAGCACAATTTGAGTTGAATTGTACATGACTTTTGTATATTACATCCTCAATCAATAGTGTTCCAGAATTCATTACAAACGCTTTCATCACTAAAGATTGATGAGGACTCCTAGCATTGCTATGCATGTGTGGTCTTGGCTAGAGTGCAAAGTAGATTTACACTCTGCTGAGTGCTCATCTGTGTTCTGGCTACAACCTTCTAAAGAACAGTAACACTATTTTGAGAAAGATTTTAGGCAAGATTTAAGCAGATGCTCAAAGTCCTCATTTAAAATTAGGTGTTTATTTATGGCCTCAGGCTTGGCCTTAAGGAAGGTTGGACCAAATCCAAAATCCTTGAAGGCACACTGAAAATCAGGAGCAGGAGAGACTAGACAAAAATAGAAGTCTTACAAGTGAGGACTGGGATTATGAATAATCTATGAAGCCAGGATTTGTGGCAAAAGTGCTTATGAAATTGTGTAGGTCATGTGACCATCTCCACATGTGATTGTGAAAAAAGATGCCAGTATCTGAGTAGTCTCATCTGGGCCATGGCAGAGACAGAAGTCAGAGAGTGTGGTCATTCTATTATTCCTACTGAGGTAGGAAGTGTGGCTTCCCAAGAAGAACCTTGCATTCTATGATGAGGAAGAGAATGAAGGCATGAGGACAACAGCTGTCTGCAATTGCTGCTTTCTAGCTTTTCACACTTGGGCATCTTACATATGTTTGTGGAGATTCAATTTATGTAATCATAAAGTCAGAAGATTAGAACTTCCTAGAAAAATCATTGGGAAAACGTAGCTAATATCTAAATTGCTACACTATAATAAAAACTCGGACCAGGCCATTGTGGTTCATGCCTTTAATCCCAGCACTTAGAGAGTCGGAGGTGTGAATTTGAAGTCACACAGAGTAAGTTCCAGGACAACCAAAACTACATAGAGAAACCCTGTCTCAAAAACCAAAAAGAAAAAGAAAACAGAAAACAAACAGACAAACACAACTCAGGGGTCAATAATTGAGATAAAGACCTAATAAATCCAAGGACAGCAGAGAGTTCATTAGCTGGCTGGCTCTCCATGATTTTTCCCAAACCATCTGCTCCGGAAATCCTCTTTTCTCTTCCAGCCCTTTCTAGCAGGCAACCTTTATCTTCCAAGAACTTTTGGCTAATCCTGGTCAGCTAATCACTGACTTTGTCCTTTGGTTCAAGGTGGCTTTAAGAGCACAGTGGAATGGCTGTACAAACAATTATCCCAAATCATTTCCTGCTTTATGTCTAAATAGAAAAGAAAGATCTTAACTCTAACATAGTAAAACTATATACAATAGTAACAATTATCAAGTAAGAAATACATTCATAATGTCCAGTCCATTAGTATTTGGAAATTTCTGAGAAAAAACCTGTATTATCTAAATTATCTTGGTGAGTCCAAAGTTTTGTTCCTAATTTACTTTCTTTTTTTGTTTGTTTTTTTTTTCAGACTTTTTTATTTGAATTAGAAACAAGATTGTTTTACATGACAATCCCAGTTTCCTTCTCCCTCCCCTCCTCCCCTACAATCCCCCTCCCCAGCTAAAACCCTACCTATCACATATGCTTTCTGCTCCCCCTGGATGTTGAGTCCTTCCATAGGGCGACATCAGAGTCTATCATATCCTTTGAGATAGGGCCTAGAACCACCCCCCTATGTCTTGGCTCAGGGATTATTCCTCTATGTGGAATGGGCTCCCAAAGTCCACACCTATGCTAGGGATAAGTACTGAACTTTCTATCATAACTAAGGAAAATTGTAACTAAAACTGTGTAATATAATATTCAACCCCACCAGAGACCTGAGAAGGATATAATATTACCTAAGTAAACAGGAAGTCCAGAGCAAGCAGCTTCCAAAGCTAAGAAATGACAGAGATATCTGGCCAACTGGACAGTCACCCCAGGGTTCCTCTGAAACAGTGGGTTAACCATCTTTGACCTACAGGCCTAATATATCTGGAAGACTTTTCTGTCAAAGCAGAAAATTTTGAAGGACTGTCCTACCTTATCTCAGCAAAGCTCAGCAATTGCCTTCTTTTGTGTCCTGCTTGTCCAATTTGGGCAGCATACTGTCAGCAGTTGAGGAAAGGGCAGTTTCTTTGCCCAGTAGCTTTGCCACATGAGAAGCAGACTCCACAAGGGGGGTTTTGTTTGCCTGTCATCCTCTTTTGTAGTAAATTGGTGCTTCCAGGAGCAGACTGCTTCACTGTAATGAAACATTGAATGATATTAAATGCCATATTCTGTAGTTCTCTGAAGTATTTGAAGACCATCTACCTGTTTAAAATATCTCTCATTGACCTTGAAAACATACCTAACATGGCTATGTTTAATTGTTGTAGATGGCTAACTACTAACCTATATTTCTTTGTTATTCCTAAATAGATTTTAATGTCTAGAACTTTACATTTTTACCTAATTTTTATTATTAATTATTTCTTCATTTATTTTACATTCTGCAGTTTCCCCTCCCTCCTCTCCTCCCACTCCCTCCTCCCCCATCTCCCATCTAAATCCCTTCCCATCTACTCCTCCTCTAGCTCCCTTACATTTTTAAATGATCTGCATAGGTGAAACACCTTAAACAAGAACTAGAAACATACAATACCGTATAACAAAAGTAATTTGAGACCCACACAGGGACTGGGACTTTATTGCTGCTGCCTCTGCCACAAGCTGCTGAAAGGCCTGCCTAGCTCCATCAATAGAGCATGAAACTCTTAATCTCAGAGTCATGGTTTGGATCTCACATTGTGCACCATATATATAATATGGATCTACACTGTTCCAGTGTAATAAAAACTCAGGAACCAGAAATCGAGATGAAGATCTGATAAATTCAAGGACAGCCGAGAGTCCATTCGCTAACACTTCACCTTTTCCCCAAACCTGCTGTGCAGGAAATCCCCTAGAAATCCTCCCTTTCCCTGTCCTCTTGAGCAGACCTCCTCAGTCCTCCAAGAACTGTATGGCTAATCCTGGTCAGCAAACTGCTGACTCCATCCTTTGATTCAAGGTGGCTTTATTGGCACAGTGAAAGGATTATAAGATAAATCTCCCAAAACAGGAGAACAAAAGATAAATAATGTATACTGACTCTCAGGTGTTAAACGTAAAGAAAGAAACAAAGTAAGAGAATAAGAAGTTCTTGAGTTTGAGGACAGCCAGATCTACAAAGAGTTTCAGGATAGTCAGGGTGGTTACACAGAGAAACTCTGTCTTCAAAATACATGCAAGAAAAATAACAAAAGAAAGAAAAAAATAATAATGTCCTAAGAGCACTACTCATAGTAAATAAAAAATATATACTGAATATAAATGTATATATAATTCTATTCATTATTTTTAAAGCACTATTTATAAAGAACAAGGGACATCAGTCCAAAATATAAAACTGAATCACTTCAAACAGTAACTCAATGGAAAATAATTCTTTCTTCAGCTTTTGTGTATTTTACATATTTGTGGGCTGGAGAGAGGGCTCAGAGGTTAAGAGCATTTGGTGTGCTTTCAGAGGCTGTGAGTTCAATTCCCAGAAACCAAATATCTCTTTAATATCTATGTACCTACCTTACTAAAAATCAATATTTTAGAGAAAACAGGAAAATGTATGATTTTTACATTCAAACATATATGATATAATTCATTCTCACAATAATTTACTCTGTTTCTATCTATAATTAAGCCCAAAAATTATTTCCCCATAATTCATCAAGTACCAGTAATGATAGGAGTGATTGGACTATCAGTTCAACACCCCTTTGAGGTTTCTATCTTTTATCCTGACACGGGGATAAAAACATCTCATCAGTTAATATCTTTAGATCAAATTGGTGAAGAAGACAGAGCTGCCTCATGTCTTTTGTTTGTTCTTGTTATTATTACTGTTGTTTCAATTTCATTGAGAGCTGGGCCTGGGGTACATCTGTGGTTTATGCATATGTGTATGTGAACACAGAAGGGCTTCTGGTACCTTCCTTGGTCAATCTTCACTTGTTCCTTTAAAATTAGGTCACTTGCTGAACCTAGAGCTCATGGGGTTTAGATTGCTGACCTTTGTTGTTTTTGTTGCTTTTTCCTGTTAGACTTACTGCTAGCAAGTGCCAGCTATCTTCCTGGCTCCACATACTATGCTTCCGGTGTTACCAGCCTCTTTGGGTCTGAGCTTACTTGAGCTTGGAGCACTGGGCTTCAAACTCCAGACATGATTTGTATGCACCAAGTGCTCTCAATGGCAGAGCCATGACTGCAGCGTCTCATTTTGTTGCTTTTGAGACAAGGTTTCACTATCTAGTCTTGGCTTGCCTGGAACCCTCTTTTCTTCTTGCTCTACCTTCCTGGTGCTGAGATTTTTGATGTGTGCCATAGGGTTGCCTGCAACAACTGTGTTTAAGGATTGAAAAGCAGCTCTGATTAAAACACAGCATTTAATTAATTTCTTGTTTCTTTCTTTAGACTGAAATACAGTGTTTAAAATCATTATACAATTGTCATGTGACACTTACCTTATCCATATATCCAAAGGATGTTTATTCCTACTACAGAGATACTCACTCAGCCACATTCAATGTTGTTCTATTCAAAGTAAGAAGAAATTGAATAAAAACTATATGTACACCAACTGACGAATGGATAAAGAAAATAAGGTATATTTACACAATAAAATATTATTAAAGTATTTAAATAAATGAAATCATGAAATGCGAAGGTAATGGATGGATCCAGAAAAAAAATCATCCTGAGTGAGGTAATCCAGATCCAGAAAGACAAAAATGATATGTATTCACTTATATGTGGATGTTAGCTGTTAAATCTTTGATAAAGAAGCTACAATCCCTATAAATCCAGACGATAAATAAAGATTAAAGAAATGGTGGGGAGATGTATATTCCTAGGAAGGGAAAATAAAACATGAAGCTATGGATGATTGGGGGGAGGGGCAGGAATTGGAGGATCAAATGGGGATGAGGGAGGGAAGAGGGGTACAAGGGAATATAGGGAGGTAAAGCTGAAGCTTTTCAGTAGATGCATCCACATATATAAATGTATGAAAGCAATATTGATGGAGGATGTCCTTCTGTATGCTGTGAGAATATGTTTCTCTTAATGGTTGATGGATGAATCCTGACTGGCCAATCTCCAGGCAGGAAGTACATATGTGGGGCTACCAGACTAGGAGAATTCTGGGAAGAGAAAAGGCAGAGTAGCAGTTTCAATGGAGACACCATGTAGCTACCAGGAAGGTAGGGTGCTCAGGCATTCTCTAGTAAGCCAAGACCACATGGAGATACAAAGATTAATAGAAATGTGTTAATAATTAAGTGAGAGCAAGCCAATAAGAAGCCTGAGCCATCATCAAAACAGTTTATAATTAATATAAGCCTCTGTGTGTTTATTTAGGACTAGCCACCTGTGAGACTAGGTGGGACAGAAACTTCCATCTACACAATATAAATAAAATTGCCAAATAATGGGGAAGATAGAGCCCCAATTGGATGTCTCTCATCATCAAATGAAGTTTCCAGTGCTGGGGATGGGTTACATATAATTGAATTGTTGACCAAAGGGGCCCTACTGGAACCACTAAACAACCCAGGCTAACACAAAAGTTGTTCTCCATTGAAGACAACACACAACACATTGAACACAGAGAAGTCAATCAGGTGCATACCTAGAACATTCAAGTGTATGAGCTAGTGTTCATGGTACTGAAACATACTCTACATACTACCAAAGGTGAAAGGAATACTAACCTAGCTATACAAACCTTTGATATATAGTGGTGATCTGCTTGTAAGATGCAAGTTATACAATGGTGGTACAAGGTGTGTGGGAGTAACCAACCAATATCTGATTGGATGAAGGCCCACTCCATAAGATGTAATCCCTCCTCAGCACTGCATGGGTGCCCAAGAACCTGAAACCAGATAAGCCAGGAACATATGGTAAAACCAAATACAATTGTTCTGCTAGGAAAACATGGTCATAAAATGACTCCTAATGACATTATGTTATACTCATAGGTAAGTGTCTTGCTCAGGCATTATCAGAGAAGTTCCTCCAGCAGTAGATGGGAGCGAATGCAGAGTGCCATAATTGGACAATGTGTAGAGAGCAATTGACCTTTGGACACTCAGTCCCAAATGGAATGTCTCTATCAATTCCCTCCCTTTATGGCTCAGGGGAACCTGGGGAAGAGAAGGTAGAAAGAAAATGAAGGAAATAAGGCCTTCTAAATAAAGCAAGACTGACAACATATGAACTCACATAGACTGTGGCAGCAAGCACAGTGAAAAAGAAGTTCTCTCCAGGGCAGTCTCACAGGGATACAAACTACTCTTAAGACCAGGACTCACATCCTACAGTAGATGGCCAACACAAAATAAACTCAATATTTTGGAGATTCTTTGTATCATAATGTTTTGTCAATCCTTTATAAACTTTATTATTATTATTATTATTATTATTATTATTATTATTATTATTATTTTACTTTACAGGTCCTTTGAGTGTATAGTATGGTTTCTGACTTTGTTTATGTATGTGTCTCTATGTCTCTATGTATCTTTTTATCTATAATCATTTCCTTTGGCTCTTTTACTTGTGTTTGTTGTTTTTCTCTTATTTTATTATTATTATTTAAATGTCTGTTTGCTTTCTAAAGACAGACAGAAATGGAATGGATTCAGAAGGTAGGAGGGGAGGTTTTGGAGGAGTTTGAGGAGGCAAAACTATAATCAAAATATTGTGTATAAAAAGTCTATTTTCAATAAAATAAAAATAGAAAAAATAAAGAAATATTTGGTATTCCATATGAAGCCCAGGGCCTTTCTTACATATGCTAAGTATATGTTTTATAATTAAGTTATATCCTTAGCTCCTAAATTAAAATCCTAGTATTAATTTTTTAATTGATATGTAAGAAAAAAACCCTTGCCGTATCAAGGCATACCACAGGGGCTTGAATTCAAGGATGTTTCTAAGTAGAGAGACAAAAGGCTTTGCAGTAATAGTGTTCATGGCTCTGCAAACATGGCTTGGCACTTAATAATACTTGCTACTCTTATAGAGGACCTTGGTTTGGTTTCTAGAACCCACATGTTAGTATTCAATGATCCATAATTCCAGCTTCAGAAGATCTGATGTGATGCCCTATTCTGGACTTCACAGGCACCAAATATGTACATAGTGAAAATACATGTAGACAAAATATCTGATATAAAGTAAGTAAGAAAGTAAGTAAATACCTTAAATAATTCTCATTCATTAGCTGTCCTACTTGCCTTCCCATTATCTAAGTGGAAATACTATTCTTTCTCCATAACTTCATTTTTTAATAGTTTCTAATTGCATCTTTATAAAAGCCACTTTAGCCACAGAGTCTTCATATTTGTGCTTTAAAAATTATGCCTATGTTTAATTGCCTTATCTTATATAAGAATTTCCTGAGCCGTGAAAGTGTATGTGCTGCTCTCCCAAAGCACTCTACTTAAATTCCAGCACCATATCAATGCTGTTTACAATTTCCTATACTCAGGTTCCAGGAGATCTAGTGCTCTCTTCTGATCTGTGCATGTACCCCTACACATATCAAGCACATGGCATACACACACACACACATGATAGGGGATGTCCTTCTGTATATATCTTTCTCTTATTGGTTGATGAATAAAACACTGTTTGGCCAATAGAGACAAGAAAATATGTGGGGCTAGGAGATGAGGAGAATTCTGGGAAGAGGAGGCAGAGGCACCTTGAAGAGGCACCACGTAGCCAAGGAAGGAGGAACAGATCTGAGCATTCTTTGGCAAGCCAAGACCACATGAAAATACATAGATTTAATAGTTATGGATTAATAATTAAGAGAGAGTTACCTAGTAAGAAGCCCTAGACATCATCCAACAATTTTATAATTAATATAGTCTTTGTGTGGTTATTTGGGGCTCAAGGGTGATGGGACCTGGCAGGCAAAGAACTCCAGCAAAACACACACACACACACACACACACACACACACACACACACCAGGACTGCCAGACTACCATACATAAACAGTGTAATACAGAATTCCATTTTTGAGACTAGCTTTCAAACTCAGCACTATAATCTAGAGGATCTGTTTTGTTCTATATATTGTTAGTATACTCCTTTAGTTTATGAGTTGTCCTTAGTGTGTGTTACATTATTTTTTTTGCTACACCCCCACAACTGGTAAGGAATCCCTGGGTACATCACAGTGTGGCAAATGGCATCACGTGTTAGTAGTATATACTAAAGAAAGGTCACTGGTCAAGAGCAAAGTGTGACTCCTGAAAACCAAATTTATATTCTGATAATTTGTCCTTTTAGTTCCCAATCCAGCCCCTCAAAACCTAACCCAGTCTTGTAAGGCTAGCTTGCAGTTATCCCTTCTAACAGTAGTAACTATAACTGCATGGTCCCCTCCTACTAGGCACCATCTCTTTAAAGGATTTCCAACACTCAAGATTCACTCTGGTATCAAACTTCACTTTGAGTTTTGGTGGGAATTTACCACATTGAAACTGTCGAACCATAACATGGGTACCAAAGTTTTGTTTAACTTTTCACTCACTGAAAGGCATTCAGACATTTTCTCGTTCTGGATGACTACAACCACATCTATGAATGTTTTGTGCATGTTTTGCAGGAATAATGTCCTAAGAGTAAAGGGTTTTATGGTTATTGAGTTCTTGTTTTTATACAAAACTGCTAAACTGATTTCTGTAATATCAAAAATAAATTGAATTCTGTTTTGAAGTAGAACTAAAACTTTCCCTTCACCAAGTTTTCTGGACACTGTATGTAGCCTGGGAAAGCTGCTGGAAGTGAAAGAGGGTGGATATCAGACGAGTTTGGCATCAGTTCAGGAGTCTAGACAGACCTGCCTGCCTATCTGTTTATATTCATTCCTTATATACATTATGCATCCATCTCACTAATTACTCAGTCACTCAAGAAATAATAGCAGCCTTACAGACTAAGATACATGACATTGCACTAGTTCACCAAGATCACAGTCAACTGTGGGTGGTGCTGCTGATTATTATGGGCTACTTTCTAATAGCAAAGATAACCATCAGTCATTGTGTTTGGATCTGGGATACGAGGGCTTCACAATGACAGACTCACATCTTACTCATGGGAAACCTGGGGAGAAAATACTCTTTCCTTTTCCAGCTAATAAGCATAGAAAAAGTATGGAAGATTGATGACAGTGGTAAGATGTTGGTCCATCATATCAATCACAAAGAATACAAGCTAGCGTTTTCAGTTTTGAGAGACTTTATGATTCAGGCAGGAAGAACTTTTAAAGGGTTTCTGAGTGATAACAGCATCACTCATAACCCCTTGAATGTAGGCTTTTCCCTATATAATTGATGGGAAACTACTGACCATGTGTTTAAAGTAAAGATGAAGACTTGTTACCAACTAAGCAGAAAGCACCATAAACACAGAGGGCTGCACACTGGAAGCAGTTAAGGGTTGTTTGTTATAGGATATTTGTCTTTGCAGCATTGTAAAATTTATTCAAGTAAGTAATTATATATTATGAACTACAGACTAAGGAAAGAGTAGCCATGTAATTGGAACATCACCATATATTTCTCACTTCATAATTACAGTGACAACAGTATTAAGGAAAAATTTGATTTTATAATAAAACTTTTAAAACACTATCTTGGGCATTACTAAAACACTGTGGTTTTATTTTCTTTTAAAATTTCAAATGGCTGATACATGAGTGTGAATGCTTTTTATGATTTTTAAAATGATTTTTTGCAACATTAAGTTTTATAATGTGAAACATAATTAGAACAATAAAATAAAAAATGTGATGTATCCCATCAGATTACAGTGATCATAGTTCTTATTTGTATCTCTACCCCTACATTTTTTTCTTTCTGGAGTCTCTCTCTCTCTCTCTCTCTCTCTCTCTCTCTCCCTCCCTCCCCTTCCCTCAGTCACACAGAGGCACATGTTCATGCATGCACTTTTGGATTCCAGAAATCAACATAAGGATTCTTTTTTCCTTTTTTATTTTTTATTTTATTTTATTTTTTATTTTTTGGTTTTTCCAGACAGGGTTTCTCTGTATTGCTTTGGAGGTTGTCCTGGAACTCACTCTGTAGACCAGACTATCCTCGAACTCCAGAGATCCACCTGCCTCTGCCTCCCCAGTGCTGGGATTAAACGTGTGCACAACAAACACCCGACATTTTCCATCCTGATCCACTTTATTTTTTGAGACAGTTTATTCTTTGAGACAGTGTCCCACTGAATCCAGAGCTTCCTGTTGTGACTAGTCTAGCTAGTCAGCAAGGAGGATCTACGGATCCTTCTTTCTCCACTTCCCCCAACTTTAGTTAAAGATGCTCACTGCCAGGCCCTGCTTTCTATGTGGGTACTGAAAATCCAAACTCAGATCCTTATATTTCAGTGGACAAGCATTTTATCCACTGAGTCATGTCTCTGTAACCTGAAGTCTTAAAACTACATTCTATATAATCCGCACAATGAATTCTTCAAAGAAATGAAATCGGAAGGCATTAGCAAGATATTAACCGTAAAGTTTTGAAGCACAGATACAGTTTCCTTTCAATTACTCTTTAATCAACTGACATACAGCTTGTGACATCATTAGTAAAATAGTTTATCCTTGCTTAGTGTCATTATGCCTAAAGAGATTTTCTATCTTCCCAATATACCCATTCCTTGTTTTGAAGGATATGTGAATTAGTTAGATTCAATGTAGAATCATTCCATTTTGCTAGTAAACTGTCACTCCTTTGGAAAAATTTTTCACAAGATTCTAAAAGCATGTGCTATGAATTGAATGTACTCTCCACAAATTTGAATGGAAATCCTAATCTGAATGCCTGTGTTTGGAGCTTGGTA